GAAATGACATGCCAATTTTTTTCCATATTTTGATTCTACAGGTGAAATGATGCCAAAATGCCAAGTTTTGTAAAAATCGCATAAGCAGTTTTTAAAAAATAAGCTCTCAAAACTTTAGCCTCTCAATGTTAATTGAATCTGATATGTATTTATTAATATCCCTTTTTACTAAACTTACTTGATTCCTTCTTCCAGAATTCAAAATTTAGATTCATTCCAAATAAAATTTGTCTATTTTCTCTGATTTATTTTTAAAATTTGTATTTTTAAGTAATTTTATAAATTTTTTGAAAAACTTTTGTATTTATAATCTATAAAATTTTTAACATAATCTTAAAGTAGATGTATTTCTAAGCATACCCGCAAAAGATTAGAGTTTCTTATTCAAAATCTCCTAGGATATATGTGAATTTACATATTGGCACGTTCTGAAATTTGGCATATTTGTCAGAAGTGGTAATAATGCCAAATGTGGTTTAAAAACCTTGTTAAAATTATTCGAAATAATGAACGATGACTTTTTTCCGCTTGTTTACAATGAAAAAAAGGAAAATTAAAATTGGTTGCTATAAATCAAGAAGTTTGGCAAGTGAATTATTCTTGGTGCAAACGGAAAAAAACACACCAAGATAAATTTTTAATTTCTCCATAAATTTCGACCAAATTTTACAAAATTTAATATTTAGGCATAATCCAAGTTGTAGAATCGAAATATGGAAAAAATTGGCATGTCATTTTGGAAGAAGTCCAATTTTGTGTCAAAATACCTATATTAGAAAAGTGCTATATATAAATCTAATATATATCAAAAGTCGCACTTTCGAGATATGAAAAATGCAATTTGAATTTCATCAATAGAACGGGAGATACAAAACTGAACCATTTTTTTTTATATGCAGTGTACATGATGTTTTACACATTTTCAACAAATTACGACAAAAGATTGCAAATTCTTAAACCATTTCTTGAAACAAATTGAATCATTAGCGATGAGAGAACAGAAAGAAAAGTTTCAATTTTGTTTTGTGGATACATGCCAGAAACAGCACTTGATGTTATTGGAGATTCAGAAATCCTGCTGAATATTCAGATGACAGGGACTTCTACATACATATGGTTATGATCTGCCATAGAAAACCTTGCACAAAAAAGGGGGGCAGTTCTGTATCTTCTGTTGGGTCGATAGATGAAATTTAACCTATGTTTTTCATGTCTTGAAAGTGCAACACAGGATATATATTAGATTTATATATAGCATTGCTTTATCATAGGTACCAAAAATTTCATTTTTTCTAAAATGACATAACTATTTTTGGTACTTTTCCGTTTTGCCGGCACAAACATTAAAGTCGCCAATAATGGTACAACTGATGCCAAACGGAATATCTTCGCTGGTAACCTTTTACCCTTCATTTTCAAAACAAGTCGCAGCCATTTCTTATCAGATTGATTGTTTCTTTCAATACTGCCATACAATTACATATAACTTTTACAAGATAAGTGAATTTTATGCCCCAAGACCATTCGCGGTAATTAATTAGGATGCAATGACACCCCTCACCCAAAAGCGAAAAAATAGAAAAGGCAAAATCAAGGGTTAAATTCATCAAATCTAATGAGAATGCACTAGCGAAGTAAAGCACTGCGGTTTTACATAATTTCTGAATAAGCTATTCATACAAATTGAAATAATTCTTGTATTTAAACTTGTATTCCATAAGATTTAACTTAAATTAATGTAGATAATTACCGAGAGAATTAGATTTTTGTAGAGTACTTTACGTGAGAAAAGATCAGTTAGGGTCACGTGATACCAAACGGCAAATCACGATGTTGAACCATGAAAGCATAGTAAATTCTTAAATTGTCTTTTTATAAATTTATTGTCTTTATTTATAGGCTTTTTACAAAATTTTAAACCATATTAAAATGTTTATGTCTTAAATAAAAAATTCTTAGAACTACCATTTGTTAACATTTTTTATGTGCATACTGTCACCAACAAAGTGTGCTTGGTGAGATTTGCGCCGGCAAATGGAAAAGTACCCTATTTTTTCAATATTTTGAGTCTATCCCTCAAATTATGCCTAAATATTAAATTTTGTAAAAGATGATGAGAAACTTTAAAATTTGTATTCACATTTTTCAGTTTGCACCAAGAATAATTCATTTGCCAAAATTCTTAATTTATGGTAAAAAATTTTAGTTTCTCTTTCACTGTGCACAAGCTACAAGAAAAGGTGCAAAGTTCATTCTTTCAAATAATTTTAACAAAGTGCATAAACCACATTTCATGGCTATCATCACTTATAATGAATATACCAAATTTCAAAATGTGCCAAAATATAAATTCACATACATCTTCACAAACTTTGAATAAAAAAATTATAATTTTTTGAAAGTATGCCTAGAAATATATCTGCTTTAAGACAATGGCAAAAATTTTATAGGTTTCAAAATTGTTTATGAAAAATTTATAAAAATTACTAAAGAATACAAATTTAAAAAAAATCAGAAATTAGCTACAAATTTTATTCCAAAATTTCGAACTGTGAAAGAAGGAATCCAGTAAGTTTAATAATAAAAAAGAGATATTAATTAACATATACAAAATTCAATTAACACTGAGGAACTAAAATTTTGAGAGCTAATTTTTTAAAAACTACTCGTGTGATTTTTTACAAAGCGTGGCACTTCAATGGGTATGTCATTTCAGAAAGAGTCCAATTATGTGTCAAAATACCTAAGCTAAAAAAATGCTATATAGAAATCTAATATACATCCTAAGTAGTGATTTCGATGCATGAAAAATGCAAGTTGAATTTCATCAATCAGCCGAGTAGAACGAAATCGTTCTGTTTTTTTCTAAAGATAATCTAATGATTTTAGAAACAAAAAATAACACTTTGGATTTAAGTAATGTAATATTAAATAAGCTGAAAGTGCTGCTCTAACCAAATACAGTCAAAAGTCGTTAATCCGGACTCGTCGGGACTTCGGCGATTCCGGGTTATCGATTTTTCCGGATTATAGATCATCAGTTTAAATCTCGTGAGATGGCATGCAGAAATTCTAAAATTAAAAATATGAAACCTTAATTTATGAAATAAAGAACAATTATAATCTAAAGGGTATCAAAATTTACAAAAAAAAGCTTAATATTTGTTTGGTACTTTTATTAAACATTTCTCTCAATGTAAGTTGTTAAGTTGCTTCATTTTATGTAATAATACTTTCTCTTTAATTCTATAAAAAAGACATAATTTCTTGTTCAGTTACAAAGTTCCGCTGTTCAAGTCCCGTAATTGCTGTGCCGAGAATACCGACTAACTTGTCAATCGAAATTTTTTTGTTTTCACTAACCTCTCTGTCACATTCTTCATGTTTTTATCCATTTTTTGCAGCAATTCCACTTTTTGTTTGTTGGACATCGAAACATACTTTCGTTTTGTAGATCCTTTGGAAGTTCCAGCATCGGAAATTCTATTTGACATAATCGAAAGTTCAAGTTTACTTTTATAAAATTGCTCTTACAGTCTGCAAAAAATAATAAACCGGATCCAATTCGAGGATTAAGAAACAACGCAATCATTGACATTAACTGAAATAGATAATTAGATAATTTTAGATTATACCGTCCGTTATACATAAAACACGCACGCGAAAACGTATTCTGCGCTTGCGCAAACGCATATGTGCAGTGGTAAAAGGTCTTACGCGCACGCATAAACGCCTATGCGCATGTGTCAACGCGGCACATGCGCAGAAAGTTTTTAGCTTTGAGGTCTCCGGATTATAGATCATTCCGGATTATGGGTGTCCGAATTAACGACTTTTGACTGCACAGTTTAAAGTCCAAGATCCAGACTAGTCAGGAATTTGGCGATTCTGGATTTGGGATTTTTTCGGATATTAGATCATCAATTTAAATCTAGTGAGATGGATTGCGGAAATTATAAAATTAAAAATATGAAATTGTGATTATGAAATATGAAGCATCTATGATCTAAAGAGTATCAAAATTTACAAAAAAAAAAAAAAAAAAAAAAGCTTCATATTTATTTGTTTACTTTACTAAACATTTCTTTGAATGTAAATTGTTTAGGCTGCTTCATTTTTTGTGCTAATACTTTCTCTTTAAATTCTGTAGACAGACATAATTTCTTGTTCAGTTACAAGGTTCCACTGTTCACATCCTGTAGTTGCTGCATCGAGAATTCTGCCCAACTTGTCAATCAAAATTTTTTCACTTTCAATAATCTCTCGTCACTTTCTTCACTATTGGTAATGGTATTTTCTGGATCAAGAAACATACTACAGATTTAACCATCCGTTAATTGATTGATGATTGGAACACTGCCATCGCAATGAAAAACGTCTGTTATATCATCTTCACTTATTACCACAGTTCCACATTTCTTTACAAAATCCATTAATTGGAAAAGCAGCTACGGAGCAAAATTATTAATCACATAAATTTATGCTAAAATAATTGTTTCTTCAATAACAAGGTATTTTATTTGATACCAAAGTGAAATTAAGACTCGGGATTATTCACATGCTTTCTTACAGGGAAAAAATTCAAATGTGCATATGTAAAGCATTAAAAAATTTTTTGTTGGGGGGGCTTTAAGGTCCGGATTTTAGATCATTCCGAATATTCGACGTCCAGATCTCAGACTTTGTCGTGTATCAAACCAAATATTAAAATTAGAATATTTAAAAGATATTAAATTTTTAAAAAATCCCAAGAAATTTTAAGAATCAGGAAAAAAAAAATTGTAAATGAATTTTGTGGAAGTATGGTAAAAAGACATCAAGAGTGTTTGCACCCCTCCTGTATGCAATCTTGACTTAAAGATGCCTTCTATGGAATTTTTCCCCACACCTTTCATCAAAGAACTAGAACTATATTAAACAGAGATATTTCAGCTTCTAAAACTAATCAACATTTTTGTCATGCATATAACTGCAAATTAATGAACTGAGAATATACTCACTTAGAAATACTGCTACTGATTTCTTCTCCATTATCACACCCATTTTTCTGCCAAGTTTTATGGAGACTATAAACCCACTTAGGATGAGGATTAATAGAACTATCAGATAAATACTGTGATCCACGTTTCATTACCAAAGCTTTGTGGTAGTATATAGCTTCACAAGGGCGCATGCCTGGAAAAGAACATTTTAATCTTCATCAAATTATCATTTCCATCAAATCATCTCTAATCCTGTGAAACATATTACAAAGGTAAAAAGAAGATTTAGTAATTTTTAAAATCTTAATAAATTCTACCTCGTAATTTCACTTTTCAAAGTGTGGGGTAGTCTATATTTTAGGGTACCCCTTGGATTATCGCCAAGTTGTTGTTTCATTTATGGTAACCTGAGTATTTTACATTGAATGTTATGGAAATCCTATTATGATATGATTGGTCATAAAGTGTGGATTTTGACTGTTGGGAAAATATTTCTCAAGGATTATTTATGCATGGATTTTGTTTAGGAAGTATGTTGCTTATTTTGTGCTTTACACCATAAAATGCCTCCTGGTAGTACGATTAACCTGAAGTTTCTGCACGCTTTGGAACAAATGAAAAAGAAAACATTAATTGACTGGTGTGTAAAGAAAATTTAAATAGCGTGGTTCACCTCACAGTAAATTAATAGCAAGATTTAAGGATTTGGAAACCAGAGCTCATATCAACATTATGGAAGGTATGTGGGGTGGGTACTTTTCCGTTTTGCCGGCGCAAGCTATAAAGTCGCCAATAATGCTACAACCGATGCCAAACGGAATATTCTCGCTGGTAACCTTTTACGCCTCATTTTCAAAACAAGTTGCAGCTTTTTCTTATCAGATGAATTGTTTCTTTCAATACTGGCGCAAATCTCGCCATAGAATTTTTATCAGATAGTACAGTTTTATGTCTAAGGCCATTTTCGGTAATTAAGTCAATTAGGATGCAATCACAACGCTTACCCGAAGCCGAAAATATAGAAAAGGTAAAGTCAAGGGTTAAATTCATCCATTCTAATGAGAATGCATTAGCGAAGTAAAGCACTGCAGTTTTACATAATTTCTGAGTAAGCTATTCGTACGAATTGAAATATTTCTTGCATTTAAAATTGTGTTCCAAATTAAGATTTAAGTTGAAATTAATGTAGATAATTACTGAGAGAATTAGATTTTTGTAGAATAGTTTGCGTGAGATTAGATCGCTTGGGGTCACGTGACATGAACCGGCGAATCAGGATGTTGAACCATGAAAGCATAGTAAATTCTTAAATTAATGTCTTTTTACAAATTTATTGGCTTTTTATAAAATTTTAAGTGATATTAAAATGTTTATGCCTTCAAAATAAAAGATTCTTAGAACTAAATTTTTTAAAATATTTTTTTTATGTGTATACTGCATGTTGTCACCAATAAAGTCTGCTTGGCGAGATTTGCGCCGGCGAAACGGAAAAGTACCGTGGGGTGTAATAAAAAGGGATTTTCGAAAGAAATACCACTCACAGTAACAGAGGTTATTTTTGATTTTTACCTTTGTGAATTTTATGTGGCAATGGCAGTATAGAGATTCTAGTTTAGATCATTTTAAATAGTTGGTTGATCTTTACAATATGGTAACTGGTAGTTTGGCGACATTTTGGAGGCGATAAAGGTTACTACCTGGGACTTTGGTAATAATGTGAGCAGTACTCAGTTCCGATTACGCATTATTTTGTGTGAGGGAAATGAGAGATCATGGGATATGTCATGTGATATTAATGGACGAATTACATTTCTTTAATCGGAAAAGGGGGGGAAATCGGGAAAAAATCTGGAAATTTTGTATTTGGCTTTATCCTGTGTTGTGAATTTTTGGATCCCATGGCCATAACTAAAGTGAATTCGAAATGGGTATTTAGTGGTATTGAAAAGGGTAGTAACAAATGTTTCTTTAAGGTTGTGCGAGATAGAAATAAGGATGTTTTATTAAGTTATTTATTTTACCTGGTACCTTGCTGTGAAATATAAGTATGATTTTAAAGATCCTAAAACAGAAAGAAGAAAAGTTTATCGGACACGTAATCAAGATTCTGAAAATTAGGTAAGTTAGTATTTTTAATTATTTGAGGATATTATTTTTATGCATTGTTCTAAATGTAAGGTGGAAGTAAAGGAATTTGTTATTATTGGGAAAATTGTTATTAGCAATGATTTAGTTTAAAGTAATTAGGATTGTAAGGTAATTTTTATTAATTTAATGTATGTGCTCATTTATATTTTAAGTAGTGTTTTTGAATTTAATTATATTTTAATTAAATGATAGTTATTTTGTGAATTTTATGTTTGTAGGAATTTGGTATACGTTTTAGTTGAAGTAAACGTGCATGGAAATAATTTAAATATCTGACACTAAGTATTTGTAATGGTTGCAGTATGAATTCGTTGGTGACGTTTATAATACAATAGATGATTTAGAGGTAAAAGTTTTTGGATATTTTATTTATTTTATATGTGGAAATGTTCATATTTGGAAAGGGTAAATACTTTTTCACGATCAGGTAATTTCATATATGTTCTTTTTATCGGGTTTAAAGATTGAGAAAATTGTCATGTATTTTCGTGAAATTTTTCTAATTTATGAGAAAAAAGCAGTGTACATGGATATAGTGAAGAGTGTGCGCAATGCCATTTTTGTGCAATTCTGGGATTTTTTTTTAAGTAAAAATAAGTCGGCGTTGTACATGGTTTATGTGTATGTGTTATTTTGAAAAACGCGTAAGGAGTATGGTATTGTGCACTTTTTCCCAATTTTGCAGTGAATATTTGTCACGATTAAGCAGTTTTGTTAGATAAAATTTCTAGCATAAGTGTAATTCAGCTAGTAGATTGTTGGAAGAAGTGTTCAGTAGATAAAAAGAAAAGAAACATGTCTTTACTTCGTGAAGACAAAATGGCGGCGGGAAAAAAAAATAGAGGGTTGCTGTAGGAGAGTTGGTCGCCAAATTTTCGCCAAAAAAACGTCAAGTTACCATAATGTAAAGATCAACCAAATAGTTTTTGGGTGCTGTTAAGGAATTCTATGCATCTCACATACTGAAGAAACAAAAATTTAAGGTAAGTCGATATTTCTTTTTTTGTACTGCATAGATTACATAACATGTATTTCCATTCTTAAGTTATTTCTTTGTTTGATTTAAAATGCAGTTTAAGGAGACAATATATTTTTTGTTTTAGTTATGTTTAGCATTGGCATCAACAATACTTTGGCGATTTTTTACGGCCCTCGAAACCGAATACAGTCAAAAGTCGTTAATTCGGACACCCATAATCCGGACCTCAAAGCTAAAAACTATCTGCGCATGCGTCAACGCATATGTTAAGGCACATGCGCACAGTCATTTTACGCGTGTGCGTAAGACCTTGACTATTGCGCATATGCGTGTGCGCAAGCGCAGAATACGTTTTCGCGTGCGTGTTTTATGTATAACGGACGGTATAATCTAAAATTATCTAATTATCTATTTCAGTTAACATGTCAATGATTGCGTTCTTTCTTAATCCTCGAATTGGATCCGGTTTATTGTATTTTTTGCAGACTGTAAGAGCAATTTTATAAAGTAAACTTGAACTTTCGATTATGTCAAAATAGAATTTCCGATTGCTGGAACTGCCAAAGGATCTACAAAACGAAAGTATGTTTCGATGTCCAACAAACAAAAAGTGGAATTGCTGCAAAAAATGGATAAAAACATGAAGAATGTGACAGAGAGGTTAGTGAAAACAAAAAAATTTCGATTGACAAGTTAGTCGGTATTCTCGGCACAGCAATTACGGGACTTGAACAGCGGAACTTTGTAACTGAACAAGAAATTATGTCTTTTTATAGAATTAAAGAGAAAGTATTATTACATAAAATGAAGCAACTTAACAACTTACATTGAGAGAAATGTTTAATAAAGTAAACAAATAAATATTAAGCTTTTTTTTTTTTTTGTATATTTTGATACCCTTTAGATCATAATTGTTCTTTATTTCATAAATTACGGTTTCATATTTTTAATTTTAGAATTTCTGCATGCCATCTCACGAGATTTAAACTGATGATCTATAATCCGGAATCGCCAAAGTCCCGACGAGTCCGGATTAACGACTTTTGACTGTAGTACCAATATACTTTTATCTTTCTGAGTTACTTCCCAGTAACTAGAATTATAATCATTATAAAATAGTGTGATAAAATGTACAATTTTAATTCAGTAATAACAGCTACTCTATTTATAACTTATCTGCATATTAACCTTTGACACAGCAATGAATATTACAGCCCCCTTTGAACATAACTAAGGTATTGCACACATTTGGGAAGAAAGCATTGCTTAATCTCGCAACCACTGAAGGATTAATAGAAAGAAAGTAGAAAATGCTAAGAGGTATAAGAAGTTAAGAACAAAAGTCCTTAAAAGAATCGCCCACCAGCGGCCAAATCGATGAACACTGGTAGTTCGGTCCGAGGTTCGAATCCCGGAAACAGGCTGGCTGCATGGACATTTTCATGGTTTTTCCCATGTGTAATGTGTATACAAGACAGGTAGTTTGGCGACATTTTGGTAAGGCGATAAAGGTTACTAGCTAGGACTTTAGCAGTGTACATGGATAAAGTCAAGAATTTGCACAACGCCATTTTTGTGCAATTCTGGGATGTTTTTTAAGTGAAAATAGGTCGACATGTACATGGATACCTTGTATGTACAATTCTTAAAAACGCAGCAAGCAGTGGGCGATTCTGCACTTTCTCCCAATTTCGCACCTAATCTTCGTCATGATTAAGCACTTTTGTTCCATAAAAGTTCTAGCATAAGCGTAATTCGGCTAGCATATTTTTGGAAAAAAAATGTTAAGTAAAAAAAAAAAAAAAAAAAAAAAACCATGCTTATACTTCATGAAAACAAAATGGCGTCAAAAAAAAAAACTAGCAGGGTTGGTCGCTAAAAAATCTTTAAGTTACCATAACTCGAAGAGTAACCGCCAGTTTCTCTAAAAAAGGTCTTCCACGAAGGCATCCTTAGGCAGATTGCCCTCGAGGCTTTTCTGTAATCACATAAGCTAAACCAAATCTTGTAGGAATTAATAAAATACAAATGTTAAAATCTGTAGTATCAAGTAATGGGATTTTATAGCCCAAAACTCACGAAAAGTTACTGCAAGATCAATTATTCAACTTTAAAACTCTGAATACTAAATGTAAACATGCTTAACAGAGCAGAATTCAGAAAATGATTGTGAATATAATTTAATTTCAGACCATAACACTTTACTTAAAATGAACACATAAAGAATTATTATGTGGATCTTCAGTATAAAAATAAAAAAAAATAAGTAAAAAATTAAAAAATTATTCATGACACAATCTCATGAAATATCCTTCTTTCTGTGAAATATAATTTTAGAATGGCATAGATATAATATTTTATTTTAAAGTATGAAACGCAGATCTTGTAATGCTCGAGTTCACGTACAATACAGTATTCACTATATAATTTGGACAAATGAATTAATTTGAAAATAAAGAAATTACATATTTTGATATTACCTCTTTTGAAATATTGGAGAAATAATGGTTTTATACCAGAGTCGGGACGTAATAACTTTGTTACATCTGGAACATTACACGGATGGCTGTGCTGAAAAAGAATTTTAATAATACCGCGAAGATCCTTCCGCACCAATGGATCGCGGTATCTGGTATATTTACTATTCTTTTTGATTCGTAGAACAAGAGAAGCTAAACAACCTTTGTTCCTGATACTTTCATCTTTTTTACGATATTTTGAAAGATGGCAAAAATAATTTTTTTTATAAATAAATTTAGCAGCATCAGATGAACACCTCCCTCCTCCACGAACAACCCACTGAACATGAGAAAGTACTTCAAATCTTGATTTCCAGCTTTCCATTTCTTTTTCATTATTCAAATTACAACGAACTGTAACTTTAAAGTCATCCTCTCCCTTAAATTCAGAAGAAACAATATGATATTCGCAGTTCTGAAATAAAACCTCAAAAAATTCTTTTCCATTCGACAACAAATCTCTTTCGTCCGCCATTTCTCGCTAAAAAAATCTTAAAACCTAAAATTTGCCCGTTGAAACAAAGAGGACCGCCTAATTCAACAGCTAATTGAATAAATACTAATACATTACAGCATCAAACGTAAGTCAATTTTACCGTTAACATGAAAATGACAAATGAAACAAACAAATTAGATATATGTCTTGTTTTGCACTTATTGAGTCTTTCTGCTCACAAGACGAAAAATTAAGCATAAGCAAAGAATGTCTCTATTCTTTGGCATAGTTACGAAGGAAAGGAAAATAGGAAAAAAAGTATGCAAATAAAAAGAAATTCCTAGCATATGATACGGGATTTTATTTATAAAGTCAGATAAAAACGTGGTCTTAAAAGATTAAAATAAAAGCTCAGACTATATAAAAAGAAATATTTATGGATATAAAATTAGACAGAGAGTATGGAAGAGAAATGTGAGATAAACTAATAAGCAATGTACTCTAATGAGCAAATCTACAGTAAGTTTCAGTGTCTAATCCAGAGTTTAAACTGCACCGGAGTTCGGCTCAGATACTTCTCAGTTTTCGAGATAAATTAAAATTTCAGCCGAAGCGCACCGGAGCCCTAAATAAAAGCCCTCGGCATTTCTTTTATGTAAGTGAACCACAATTTTAGCGCATAAATTTTGTTTTAATAGTAAACATGCCTTAAAAATCAATTCTAACTTCTGAATGCAGACCTTTCTTTTCCTCGCACTCAAGCCTTGCAACAGAGTATATTATACGTATTACGCGCGTCTGCCTTTTGGCCACTCTTTCTCTCAAAGCTGTTATTACGCTCGGCCGTAGTCAGGCCCTTTGATAGCTTCGCAGTCATCTGGTGCCAACTGCATTAGAAACTTGATAGCTTCGGCTATATTTCTTTAGTTGATCTTAGTTTTAGTTTAATTCTTAGTCTCTTAAGTTCAAGCCCAAGTGTCGGCTTTGATTGTACACTCCTAGACGGAGTTTTGCTAAATCTTATTGGAATAATAAAGGGTTAGCTACCCTTCCATCTTGTTGTTTCTTACCACACGAACTTATGAGATTATTCGCTAACTAGTTAAGATTCGTCACTTTCCACAGTAATTGAGATTTGCACAGTGGAAAATCTTACATTTAGACGCGCATAAATCAGAAACTCTGATTCTCTCTCGCTACGACCAAAGAACTTCGCTGTTAGATACCGCTCTTCCCTCATTATGTATTCAGACGTGATTCTAAAACTACGTTCTGGCCGGAAGTAGTAAGTTGAATAAGAATTTGACAGGAAAGGAACTTTCTTAAAATTTAACTGTTAATAAAATTAACATAATTCTTAAAAAGGCAAATGCACGTTTCTTACAAAGGTATGCATAAATACTCATTTAATATTTTTTGTTTTCGGCATGTGCAAATCTTTATTTCCTTTGCATTCACTATACTTTTCTGAGTAAAGTAATTTACAATATTTTAACACATATCAGAATGTTTACATAAGAAATGTGTGCAAATATAAATTGAATGCAAGAAATATTCATTATTCTGAATACGCACTCAAAAATGATTTCCTTCGAAATTCCTCCACGAAGGCCTCTTATTCCTTAGGCAGATAGCCTTTACATGCTATACCCTATTTAAACAACTTAACCTGACCTATGTACCGAATTACAAATATTTCAACATGCATGATTTTGTATTTACACTTTGCCATCACATTGCAAACATTTGCATTTAGTCATCAAGCTATAAACTATATCTTGCGATCTGGGAACATGCAGCTAAATTAAACATGCTAATATTAAACAATTACAAATTCTGCAAAATAAAATTTTACGAGAAATTATCAATGCTCCTTGGTATATTCCAAACACCTATATTCACAGAGACCTTCAAATCGAACCTATTTAAGAGTATATTAAACGATTAACGGTCAACTTCTTTCATTTAGTACAAACCCACAGTAATAGCCTTATTAGCACTCTCAGACACCCCCCCCCCCCGCATCCCGGGGAAAAACATCGGTACCCATGTGACATCCTACCCACCTAAGAATTACAACCTTAAGTGACTCATTCGCGCTAAATTGATGCTGTGGTCTGTCACCCGCTGCTACATCTTGGAACGACACTGACCCCCCCCCTATTCGCCGCCGCTAGCGTGGACCTGACTCCCCCCGTCCAATACCTCCTACTACACTACTCTTCTTTCTTTTCCTTCCAGATTGGGCCCACCAGCGGCCGAGCGGTAACTTCGCTGAAACTCTGGTAATTCGGTCCGAGGTTCGAATCCCGCGAACGGGCTGGCTGCATGGGTGTTTTCATGGTTTTCCCCATGTGTAACGTGTATACGAACCAATTTCCCTTAGAAAGTCCTCCACTAAGGCATCCCTCCCCTTAGACAGATAATTTTAGTGTGCTTTGCCATAATTAAATAAATCAAACCAAACCAAACCAAGCCTTCCAGACTGTTATCTGTTACTGAAGTCGAGTAAAAAGATGTTTCTACATCTTGACACTCGATAATAAAATACGATCTGTGTATAAACTGTATTATAAAAAAAATACTGTAATTAAATTCGAAGTAGGATTATGTCATTCAAAATTTGACGGCTATATTATCACAGTAGTGCGAGAAACATACATACATTTATGCAGATTCTTCATTATTTAATTTCTTCAAATATAATACATAGCGATAACATTTGGTGGCAACAGTTTGAAAAGTGAAACGGACATTCAGAATGATTCGACGCAAAGTCTCAAAATGAAAAGAGTAGTTCTTCAGGGACTAAGCCCGTTTGGATTAAAAAACAAAGGACACCCAATTGTAAACTTTTACTCTCTCTACTACACAGTGTGGCTTATTTTCAACTGAGTACAGTAATTTTTGAATGATCTGAATTGTACACTAAAAGATTACGCGGATGAAAATTAAATAACTTGAACCATGTCTTCAAATCAGAAATTCGCATGCAGAAACTTCTAGTATTTTAAAGCCTGCGATTACATTTGACGCCAAACTGCAATCGCTCTTTGCTAGCCCCAAATTAAAACTGCTGTTTGCTGGCCTCAAATTACAATCGCTCTGGTGTTAGTCCCAAAAATTCATTTACTGTCCTACTCTATATGAAGAACAGTATCACGAAACAAAGAGGTCTATTATGTCACTTAAATGTGGAGAAGTTCCACCCTAACTCAAACAAAAGTAAAGTAAAATAAGCCTAACATAAAATCAGATAGTGAAATGTCAAACTGTCATCTGATGATCCGTTTCGAGATACTATTGTGTTTGAAAAGTAGAGGAAAACTTGTCATGCCATTTCGAAGAAATATGTTATTGCACCGGACGAACATTTATCGAAAACCTTATTCTTAACGGAGATAATGCATCTTTAGTTTTAGATAAATGTGTTGTAAGGTTTATTATTTTTTAATAGTTATCTTTAGTTAAAGCTACTTTCCTGTCCCTCCTAATTTCAGCTTACAATTTCTTACCAGGATGTGTTTTTAGAATCGCGTTTAATGCAAATGAGTAAGAGTAGTATTTAAGTCGAAGTTCCACTGACTTCGTTAGAGAGCCTCAGAGTTTCTGACTAGCGCGCGTTCGGCTTTTGGCTACATCTGTCTACGCTCGATCGTCAAAAATCAGGCCCTTGATAGCTTCGCCAGCTTATTTGATATTTAGGGGACAACTACATAAAATTTTGATAGCTTCGGCTATATCTTTTTAGCTAAGCATTTGTTAAGTTTTATCTCTTATTATTTTCAGTTGTAGCCTAAGTGGAGGCTTTGCTGTACGCTCTGAGAAAGCAGCCGACTGTACATTTCTATTTTGAATAATAAAGGGTAATTAACACTTCTTGAGTTTTACGACTCTTCCCGAACTCACTCAAGCGATTATTCGCTTGCCTGTTCACGAGGTTCCTACACATTTAGCTGTCAGATAAGAGTGGAAATCCATAGCGTAAGCAGTTTTTAAAGAATAATTTAAAGAAAGTGTGAATATTCTAAATTATTATTAGTCCAAAGAGGCTTTGTCCCTGAAGGACTATTGCTTTCGTTTTGCGATTTTGCGTTGAATCACTATAAATCTCCGTTTCACTTTTCAAAGTGTTGCCACCCAATGTTAGAGTCCAGTATTATATTTGAAGAAATGAAATAATGAAAAATATGCATCAATGTATGTATATTTCTCGCATTGTGATAAAACAACGGTACATAGAGCCATCGAACTTTGAACGACGTAATCCTACTGCGAATATGGGCATCTGAAAGCCCAAATTTGAAATTTTTTTATGACCGATTTCCTATTCTATAAACTAGGTAATTTATAGAATAGCGGCCGAGCGGTAAAGTCGCTGAACACTGGTAGTTCGGTCCGAGGTTCGAATCCCGCGAACGGGCTGGCTGCATGGGCGTTTTCGTGGTTTTCCCCATGTGTAACGTATATACGAGCCAGTTTCTCTTAGAAAGTCTTCCACGAAGACATCCCTCCCCTTAGGCCTAGTGTGCTTTGCCGTAATTAAATAATCCAAATCCAATCCTATTCTATAAAACTTTAACGAATTTTTGATTAACAAACTCAAGGATTTCAAAGCGAGCAATGGCAACACTCTACGGGGGGGTACCTTTTTATCTCCAGCGCGCGGAACCGTGTATCGGAAATTGTAAAGATAGGCTCATTTTAAAATCATTTTGCCACATTGCTATTGAACTGAATTTTATGGTTTAAGTGCAAAGAACATGATATTTAATCCATAAAATTAACACACAAAACGTTAAAAAAACGCTCGCTCCTTTGGACATAATTTAAAATCTGATTTTTTTTTTTTTTTTTTTTTCTTTTTTTCCTTCGAAAGTTATCCCAAAAAGATATAGTTTTCGCTGCTCTTCCTCACGGGATTGTTACATATTTTGTATTTAATTAGCTATTTTTAGTAGAATAGTAATTAAAATTGTTTTATTACCCCGTGCAATGCAGCGCGTGACGAGTTTTAAGAGAAAGCTACCGAAAAAGTAAAAATACAAGAGCACGCGCATTTAATAAATAGATATCTCGTAATTTATATTTGAATTGAATAAATGCAAATGTGTGTTAACCGTAACTGTAATTCTACTCTTTTGCTTTCCAGAAACCTCGAGAAAATAGAAATTACCAAAATGTTGTCGTGCACGATTA